TTCTTTAAATGCATTGTAGAAATTTAGATAATTTAATAGAAAATTTCTAGTTAGTATGTGTTATTGTTCTCTTAGATTGGCAGTGGATACGATTAATTCACTGTAGGCGTTTTTCTTTTTAAAAGATCAGCTTTATTTATATGTAACACTCTCGACTTTCTCTCCGATTCTAACACACATAAAAACATATATAGAGCGCGCTAACAAGGACTACGGGCCTTACTGCCCTCTCGTGGCGTATCTAAGCGCCCTCTCGAACATCCTGGGCCCCTTTGAAAGGTTCCCTTTCAATGCTAGATAAGTAGTTATTATGCAACGTTAATGAACTGTAAAGTAAACTAATCTACTGTAAACAATTGAACAAATAAATATAAACGAAAATTTTCACATGACTTTGACATTAAGCAAGGCTAAACCATGCTGCTAGTTTAATCTTCTTCCAAGGAGTCTTTGGGTAGCGGACACAGCTTCTTGACGGCGCGTTTATACGTTCCGGATTGTGTCTTCACCATAGCCACTCGTATTTCTTCATCTGGTCCTGGATACACCTGGATCACCCTTCCCAGTGGCCATCTTAGAGGGGGGGTGTTGTCCTCCATCATTAAGACAAGTGTATTTAATTCTATGCGCTTGCCAGCAGTATGCCATTTGCTTCTGGTTTGTAATTCTTGTAGATATTCTCGTTGCCAACGGACCCAAATCCGTTGACGCGTCTTTTGCAAGTGTTGCCATTTTGATAAACGATTATCAGGAATGAGGTTGTAGGATGGCTCTGCAGGCTGTATTAAGGATTCACCCGTAATGAAGTGAGCAGGAGTCAAAACTTGAAGATCAGAAGGATCATTTGTTAAAGGAGTCAAGGGTCTGGAGTTGAGGATTGCTTCAATATCACATAGGAGAGTGTGATATTCTTTGTACAAGAGCACCTTTCCTTGAGTTTCGGTGTATAAGTGACGTTTCATCTTCTTCACCGCAGCCTCCCATAGGCCTCCAAAATGGGGCGATCGAGGGGGGATGAACTGCCATACTATCTTCTGTTTAGATAAGAAAGCGGCGATTTCCGGTGTAGCCTTGATCAGAAACTTTTGTATGTCCTTTAAGGTGTTTGCGGCACCAACAAAATTAGTGCCGTTATCTGAGAAAATCTGAGAACATATTCCTCGGCGTGCTGTGAAACGTCTCAGAGTGGCTAAAAAAGCCTCTGTTGATAGGTCTGATACTAGTTCTAGATGTACTGCTTTTGTACTAAAGCAGGTAAAGACTACCACGTAACCTTTTGTTATGCGAGGCTTCCCACGACGTCTGCTCTCTCGAATCTGCAGCGGGCCAGCGTAGTCTACACCGGTTACCGTGAAGGGGCGTGTATACATTTTGACTCTCTCCTTCGGTAAGTCTCCCATCGGTACATCTGGTGTGGTTGGGTTAAATCGGAAACATTTCAGACACCTTTTAACCACCTTTTGCGCTTCTCTGCGGCCACTCACAGGCCAAAATCTTTGTCTAATGATATGTAGGAGCTGTTCGGGTGGACAATGTCGCATATGATAATGTTCCTCTCGCATTATCAAATGAGTAAGATAATGTTTTGCTGGCAATATTAGCGGGTGCTTCTGATCTCCCGTTAGTTCGGCGTATCTGAGTCTGCCTCCGACTCGGATCAAGCCCTTCTCATCCAGAAAGGGTCTTAGAGACTTTATAGGACTCTTTCGTGGAAGATCCTGTTTTGTTTTTAGACATCTACGTTCCTGTGCGAAGCATTCCGCTTGCAACCATCTGATCACAGTTTCCTCTGCTTGCTGTATTTCCGCCACTTCCAGCGGTCCAATCCTTTTCTTGCCTCTTGAATTAATTAAAAAACGCTGACAATATGCGATGATTCGACACAGTTTCGAGAATGATGAATATTTTTGTAGTAATTCCGAGTCGTGTGTAGCTAATAGCACCACAGTTGATTTTAACTCTGGCAAGTGTGATTCTGGCTTTGCGATTAGGGCGGGTTGAGATTTATGATTCTTAAGCCAACTTGGCCCGTTCCACCAGAGGTTGCAAATCTTTAATTCCTCTACGGTCATTCCTCGTGAGAGCAGATCGGCTGGGTTTTCTTCTGAGATTACATGTTGCCACGTTGTGTCTTCCGTTAATTCTTGAATCTTGACAACTCGGTTTGCCACAAAAGTTTTGAGTAGGCGTGGTTCTGTTTTGATCCAACCGAGTACAATAGTGCTGTCGCTCCAAAGCCTGACTTCTTTGATCTTCCCCCCATAGCGACTTTAATGACGCTATGTAACTGTGAGAGGAGAAGCGCTGCTTCCAATTCCAGCCTTGGAATTGTTAATAGTTTTAAAGGTGCCACCTTGGATTTCGAACAAAGGAGATGTGAATGCGTGATACCTTCTTCATCTTTGCTAACGATATAAAAACAAGCGCCAAATGCTCGTTCAGATGCGTCACAGAAACCAAATAGCTTATATTTATCGCAATGATTGCGTGGATTGACATTTCTTGGTATTCGCAAATCGCTAAGTTGATGCAATGATGAATAATATGAATTCCAGTTTAATGTATGTTCGTGAGAGAGTGGTTGGTCCCACTCTATCTTTGATGACCACAACTGCTGCATGAAAATTTTTCCTCGAATGAGCAGAGGACCTAGAAGCTAATGGGTCAAATATTTGTGAGATCTCAGATAAAACCTCGCGCTTGGAGTTAACTGAAGTATGGCACAATTTAACTTGATACTGTAATGTGTCTTGTTTCGAATTCCAATATAATCCTAAGGTCTTAATCGCTTCTTCTTTATCTATTACGAATAAATCGCTGGTTTCGTGATGTTTCTTTAAATGTTATAAAATTCGAGGATTATTTGCTCTCCATTTGCGCAGCACAAATTGACCTTGCATGAGAAGTTGCGAAAGTTGCTGCTGCAGCTGTATAACTTCCTGTTGCGTCTTACCTCCTGTCAGGACATCGTCCATATAAAAATCTTCTCTTATTGCCTTTGCTGCTAAAGGGTACTCTTCTTTATAGATTGTTGCGAGTTCTTGCAAACATCTCATTGCATGAAACGGAGCGGATGCAGTGCCATAGGTGACAGTATTCAACTGGTAAACTTGCGTGTTCTGTTTTGAATCCGGCCGCCATAAAATAAGCTGCAGTGTTCTATCTTCCGGATGAATCCATATCTGTCTAAACATCTTCTCTATGTCGCCCGTCAAGACGTATTTATGCGAACGAAATCTGAGTATTATTTGAAATAGATCCTTTTGTAGATTGGGTCCTGCCAACAATTTATCATTTAGCGAAGTACCTTGAGTTGTCCTAGCTGATGCGTCGAAAACAACGCGTACCTTTGTTGTGATGCTGTCTGGACGAATAACAGTTTGGTGCGAAATAAAATAAATTTCCTTCGAGTCTAAAGATTCCAAATTCTCAATCAATGACATATGACCGAAGTTTATATATTCTTCCATAAACTTACAGTAGGCTTGTTGGATTTCAGGATGTCTAATAAACTTTCTTTCCACTGATTCAGTGGTCACAGTCTGCGCTGTGCTTGATCCCTGGATTGTCCCAAACGAATATTAGGGCACGTTGGTAATCGCACGATGAATCTTCCGCTCGAATCTCTTTGCACTGTTTCAGAGAAATGTCGCTCACATAATTTCTCTTCCTTCGTATAATGTTGAACTTCTGGAAGCGTTTCCTGCTTCCAAAATTTTTTAAGCTGCTGCGCTAATTGTGGATTCGTTATTGTGAGACATGTAGATGCTGATTTAAGAATTTCTTCGGATGTTTCTCCTCCTATAATCCAACCTGGTCGTGTGTTCTGTAACGCCGGCTGATTGTTGATACAATTTCTCGGCGAACCTATGACGATCTTCCAGTAGAGTCCGGCTCCAATAAGTAGATCAATGTCTCCGAGTTCACCATATGTGGGATCTGCAAGAAGCGTATCTGTAGGAATTAGAATCTTTTCCGTGTTAATGTTTACCTGCGGCAACTTCGTTGTGATGGTTGGCAGCACCAGACACTCCAGCTCTGCTACAAATTCCGAATGCATTGACTCTATATGCAATCTTGTACGCTTTGCTTCCGTTTTTATTTTGCAAACCCCTGAGACTGGCACACTTCCATTCGTGTAAGACAATTTCAATTTTTGACTCAAGGCAACCGTGATTAGATTTGATTGAGCGCCTGGGTCTAATAATGCTCTGCAAACGATTCGTTTTCCTTTGTTGTTCTTGACGTAAACAAGTGCCGTTGATAGGATCACCTGTGATTCATGTTTTCTTGAAATATGGACAGAGGCATTCGCGTCCTTTGACTTGATGCAGTGATTTACAACTGAAGCAGCTTGTTCTGTATCCTCTTCTGTTTTCGAAGCTTCATCTTTCTGAATAAGAGTGTTATGCCGTTTGCCACATTT